AAGCACAGGCGTGGAGTACCGAGGCATCAGGCAAAGGTTGCCATTCCAGTGCAACGAGACCAAGACCAGCAGAGCGGCAGGATGGAGGTCACCGTGGAGCCCAAGACGGCGTCATCCCCAGTACCTTTGGCAGCCGAAGACCAACTTTAGTCAGGATAACTTGTACTAGTTGTTCCCCTTCAAATGGCCATTGTTGGCGCCCTTCCCACTCAATATTTGGGAAGAGGACCAGGGCCCCTATAAATAGGACTAGCCACCATAGAAGATGGGGGAAAAATCAAGTTCTCATCAGATAGAGAGGCAATCGAACTCACCCAAGTAGTTCATCGCATCAGCTCAAGAACACCTCTCGCGAGGCTGTTCATCCCTTGTACTGTTCATCATCAGCCCCTGAGGCAATCCACCACACCACACACTGGAGTAGGGTATTAGACCACAACGGTGGCCCGAATCAGTATAAATCTCGTGTCCCTTGTGTTGTTCATTGTTAGCTTAGATTCTCGCGAGGCGATCGGATGTGGATTGGTAGCGGGAAGATCTTCGCGCGCACCCCAGAGTTCGAACCTTAAGGGTCTGCCGGAACCCAACATCCGACACAATCACCTTCGGTATGGTGGACGACTTCTTCATCCATGCCATAACTGTCAGAGCCCAGCTGTCTGGAGGAACAAACATACTTACGAGCTCACCTCCAAGGTCGTTGATAAGCTCATGCATGGACTCGTTGTTCCAAGCACGTCTAGTCATGCCGTGGAAGGTAAGCTTTGTTAATAACTCAAGCTTAGAGGGCACCAAGCCCCATCCTAGGTGCCACCGATCAAAGCTCACCAGCGCGCCATCGTAGGACAAATGTCGGGAAGATTCGAACACATGACTGCAGTCGAAAGTTGTCCGGAACCTGACGAAGAAATCAGCCGGTGGCAGACAGACTTCTACGAGCAAGTCACTTATTTGGATGCCATGCACAATGCCAAGAGCTTTGACAAGGTCGTCCGGCGAGACGGGAGGTGGGTCACCATTGATGGTTACCATCAGCACTTTGCCAGCAAACTGGTCGTCAAGTGCCGCCATGCCACTGTTGAGCGACAACACGTAGCACCCGAAGGCAGGACGGACCTCAGGATCTCCGGCTCGGAGATCCGCATTGACCGGCGACATGATAGTGCGCTTGAGTACAGGGAGTACAGGAGGGGGATTTGGGGGAACTGGAGAGGTGGGGAGGGGCGGGAGATTAGGGATGAAAAGGTAGCATGAATTTCGAACACGCGCCAATATGCTCTCGGCGCGCAAGCGCACGAAAACACCGGTGGTGCCCACATGTCGGCCTAAGAGTCCCTATTATTTCTTTTTTTGAGAGGCCGACCTTCTGTTTTTGAGGATCTTTTGAGAGCCCGGCCTGAGAGTCATAACTGACCTATTTGGCATTGCGTTACTACTCGGCCCATATTCAATGACACCTCACTGGCCCAAACAAGTGTACATCATCAAAAAGACACTGTGCTAAAATTATAACTTGAAAAAAGGAGATATACTCTGAACACTGGAGAATGGTGATGCCCTCATTTAGCCCACTAGTAGTTCGAGACAATAAACAGTTCGAAACAACGATATATACAACATTCAAACACTGACTAGTGACTACTACTGACATAAACAGCAAGACATGATAGTTCATAAGAAGTCTTCTACACCACCAAAATGCACCCATCTGCAGCGCTCAGACTCTCATGATCCAGACAAGAATGACATTCTAAATAGAGGCAACTATTACATAGTAAGAGTGACATAGATGAGGATGACCAAATGACAATGAATTTAAAACAATAATGAGGCTAGCCAACTCACCTCCACAACGCTTCCCCGATCGGTTTCTTTGATGGCCGTTAGATCATGGTCAACTCGGTCCTCTGGTTTGTTTTGCCGGTTCGATCTTCACCTTACAGTAATTTCCTTTTCACCCCACGGTGCTTTTCTTTGCCCAATGACTGGTGGGTTCGTCTCGCAAGTGCATTGGCTGGGTGAGGTGCGTCCATGTGCGATTGGGATTTTTCCAGTCCACTCCTCGCGCGCGACGTGCGTCCTGGGACCGCCCAATCCCCGAGCCCTCACCCCTTCTTCCTCCTCTCTCCCACGTCAGCCGCCATAGCAAGAACCGTAGCCCCCTTCCCTAGATCCCCGTTGCCGCCGCCCCTCCCGCATCTGCTCTCTCCTTCCTCTCTCTGTTGTCAGCCGCCGCTACAACTCCTCCCTTCCCCGTCTTTGTCCGTGCAGCCGACCAACTTAGCTCCGCCCGGCGATCGCTGCCTCCCCAGTTCATCATCCCTCCCTTGCTGCTCTACTTTCACCAGGGACGGACGAATCCATGCACCCCGTCGCCTAGAACCGCTAGGTGAAGAAGATGGACGAGCGCGAGGGTCGGAGGAGGCCACAAGGCGACGGATCTAGCGCGGGATTACGGGTTTCAAGACCCTCGTGGTTGACCTCCTCTTCGCTTCTTCCTCGTACTACTGCATCCCTTCGGTTCTTCCCCTCTATAATGTGATGCAGGTGCTCCTCGCCTCCCCATCTCATTTTCTCTCCACTCTCTCTCTTTCCACATATACTCCTGGTTTTAGATCTTTCTCGGCCATGGTACTGCAAGTTATGTTTTCTCATTATCAGTTGGTTCAGTTTACTGTTTTTACGGCTGCAGATTACTTGTGATTTTCTGCAAAATCAACTTGTCAAGGAGTGGTGTCAATGGAAGGCGTGACAGTCATTCTGGTGACATATGCACATCAGGTTCTAGAATTAAGTAGTCCTACTAGGAAATTTTAGTTTGCTTATTCGCTAAGTAAATCGGTGTTCTGTTTGTCGGGTCCATCTAATCACTTTCTCGTGCATGCAGGTCGGCACCGCTGTTGTCACTGGGCAGAATGGATGACTGGCCATGGGCAGGCTCGGAGCCCTCTGCGAACAGGTAACTGAATTTTCTGACCAAGGAGCTTTCTAAACATGTAAAACGGCATGTAGGCCAAAGCACACAGGTTTACAGTTAGTGCCTGCAACACTCAGCTATGGCTCTGGCCCAGTTGGATCCAACATGCAGAGGCAGACAACCAGCAAGCAGCCCCTCTGTTCTACAGGCCAGTGTTTTGTTAGTTTGGAGTCAAATAAAAAGATGTATAAATCTAGGAATTTCAATAGGTGTGAGGTGGACAAAAGATCTGGGGTATATCACTACAGCAATAGAACTAGAGGGAAGGAGGGAGATGGTACTGATTTTAACGTAGCAGGATAGTATATATACTAGCATAGTGTAACAGAGCATGGTTTATGAACAACTATTAAGATAGCAGGAATAAGATTCCTTGGTAATTATCACATCACTATTAGCCTCACTAGACAGATATACTGAGAATGCTTAAATTAGACTACAAATCTTATTTCTAATCAACAGATGCTATAGTACTGTTATTTGTCAAATGCGACAACATCAAAAACACAACAGAAAGCACTATCTGGTGAAAGTTTGGGCGGTAAGCAAGCAAATGGACAGAAATGTAACAGCATGAACGCTTAAATTAACATCTATTTGTCAGATAAGCAGATGCAAACTGCATACAAACATAATTCAAGTGCAATTTAACATCTATAACAGAGTTACATTTCTTTTAAACATAATACACTTATTGTGTCGCTTACCTACTTGCAAAGAGAGTTCATATCAGAGGAAATGTTCATTGTTTCTACTCTGTTTATATTTCAGGTTTGCATGTTCAGTCAATGGGAAATTGGTAGCAACTTTCCTGCACTTTTTGGATGCATTGCTTTGATAGTTTTGCTTGCGGTGCCTAATCAACTTGTCAAGGAGTGGTGTCAATGGAAGCCGTGACAGTCATTCTGGTGACATATGCACATCAGGTTCTAGAATTAAGTAGTCATACTAGGAAATTTTAGTTTGCTTATTCGCTAAGTAAATCGGTGTTCTGTTTGTCGGGTCCATCTAATCACTTTCTCGTGCATGCAGGTCGGCACCGCTGTTGTCACTGGGCAGAATGGATGACTGGCCATGGGCAGGCTCGGAGCCCTCTGCGAACAGGTAACTGAATTTTCTGACCAAGGAGCTTTCTAAACATGTAAAACGGCATGTAGGCCAAAGCACACAGGTTTACAGTTAGTGCCTGCAACACTCAGCTATGGCTCTGGCCCAGTTGGATCCAACATGCAGAGGCAGACAACCAGCAAGCAGCCCCTCTGTTCTACAGGCCAGTGTTTTGTTAGTTTGGAGTCAAATAAAAAGATGTATAAATCTAGGAATTTCAATAGGTGTGAGGTGGACAAAAGATCTGGGGTATATCACTACAGCAATAGAACTAGAGGGAAGGAGGGAGATGGTACTGATTTTAACGTAGCAGGATAGTATATATACTAGCATAGTGTAACAGAGCATGGTTTATGAACAACTATTAAGATAGCAGGAATAAGATTCCTTGGTAATTATCACATCACTATTAGCCTCACTAGACAGATATACTGAGAATGCTTAAATTAGACTACAAATCTTATTTCTAATCAACAGATGCTATAGTACTGTTATTTGTCAAATGCGACAACATCAAAAACACAACAGAAAGCACTATCTGGTGAAAGTTTGGGCGGTAAGCAAGCAAATGGACAGAAATGTAACAGCATGAACACTTAAATTAACATCTATTTGTCAGATAAGCAGATGCAAACTGCATACAAACATAATTCAAGTGCAATTTAACATCTATAACAGAGTTACATTTCTTTTAAACATAATACACTTATTGTGTCGCTTACCTACTTGCAAAGAGAGTTCATATCAGAGGAAATGTTCATTGTTTCTACTCTGTTTATATTTCAGGTTTGCATGTTCAGTCAATGGGAAATTGGTAGCAACTTTCCTGCACTTTTTGGATGCATTGCTTTGATAGTTTTGCTTGCGGTGCCTAAATTACAGCCTGCCAATGGCGTGGAGTTTAGGTGGCTAGCCCATGCATTGGGAAGAGTTTGGGCGGGTCGCGGTTGATATCGGACCTGTAAATGAAGAAATTTTCATTGCAGTGGGCATAATTAATGGTGTGGTGGGGCTTAGTTGCGCGCTCGTTGGTCTGCCCAGGGCGAAGGAGTTCACCGTGGTGGACATGCCACTCCTGGAGCGGCTCTTCATGTTCCTGCCGCCTAATGTTGTGGTGGGGCTTAGGATCGCTTGTGCTCCCAACCCGCGGGTGCTCGCCTACCTAGACACAAAGAGCTCGCATGCTACAGATTGGTGTCAGCATCATTGGGGCACATCTCTCTGGTCTACATCTCTCTTGCAACTTGAAATTATTCCATCGACATTGATCCAACCATCATGTTCTCCTTTGTGATTAGAAAACTATCAATGACTTGTGATAATAATGTTGCTTTAGCTGTAGCTCATTGCAGTCTCTAAAAATTATTCCAGTAATCCCTCTTCTTCTCTTCTCTTCCAGTAACTATCAATGACTGGTGGTGAGTTCAGCGGCTGCCGCCTCCTCTTCTCTTCGAATCCAGTAATCCCTCTCGTGAGTGCATCAAGGGATGTCATGCCCTCAACTAGGTGAAGCACCAGGTCCACTTGAGCTCCTCCTTAAATAGATGTGTTCGTGTCATTTAGCCCCAAAATTCAGTTCAGTTCGGATCTACATCTTTTGCCGACCCCTTTTCTTGGTACTGATTGACCTTTTTGTGTTAATATTTTTATTTGACTGCATTTTTTTCTTTAGTCCTTCCTCTTAGTGTATAATCCTGATTGTGCAAGTTTCTTTCCTGGCAGCGAGTTTATGATTCAGACCATTCCATAACAAAATGCATATATGGCCTCACGGTAGGAGTTTAGCTTCACACTGTCATCAAGTTTGTGTCAAATTTATTGTTCCATTTTTGGAACAGTGTACTTTCATGAGTATTTTCTAACGAGTACATATAATACTTTCGCAGATCATTTTACAAAATAGAAGTATAGAGGAATTAATATATAGAAGTTATGACCATCGTGTAGAGTGATCTCTGAAGATGGATTGCAGATAAGTATATTAACAATTTAGTATTGACCCTATTTCTGTTGATACTTTACTTTACTAAATCTTTCGTATTAACCATAAGCATAAAGGATATCATGTTGGGTTGCATTGCCATGTAAGGAATGGGTATCCTAAACCTGAGAAAGTACCAACGCAGATGATAGTTTCTTAGGAATATCATCGTGTTGTTACAGCAAAGATGGCTAGCTGTAGCACCTTCTATAATTCAGTTTACTATTAGGGATATCATTCAATCTCTGAACTATGTATTACCGTTATAAATTTGGCTAGGGAATCTCTCATTTTAATATTGCAATGAAGTGGTTGGGATGGAGAGGGTTTTTTACTTGACTACTTTCTGACTATATACCTTTCTGTTTTGTGCAAGTACAAAGTATTAGTAATTTCAGTCTGTCCAATTTTTGCAAGGATAATTGTGTGAGTCTGGTCCAAACTTTAAGACAATCACTTAATACATTCATGGGATCACCAACTTTTGGCGTTTTTTGAGACTAGCTAGGTGGGATCATGAATTCCAAGAAGACTGTGGTAATTATCCTACTTTGTTTGCAAGATTGGTTTCTAAAAATATCATGGTAGTTGTAATTTCAGGTTGCTGCTGATTTGACTGAATATGTTTTGATGGTTTTTTAATCTTTCATCTTTACTGTGTGTAAAAGTAACTAATTCATTCCTAATTAAATCTTTCAATGGTTGATGGGAACACTACAGATCTTGCTTCTCTGCTTTTTAATGTTTCATATGTTTTCATGTACAAACCGAGGCGTGCGGGCACCATGTGTTTCTATTGCAGAGGTTGATCACCGTGTGTATGGCTTGCTGGTTGCGCCAGTAGAGTTTCTCAGAATGTTGTTTGTCCAGTCTTTGTTAATAATGTGATCATCACAGAACTAAAAGACAATGTTTGGTACTGAATTGCAGTTCGCTTTGTTAATTTCTGCGACACCATTTCATATTTACATTTGAATTGTACTTACTTAGTTTGTAAGGCCTTATAGTTTCAATGCTTTATTTGCTTGTGGAACTACGGCTCTGTTACATTTTGATGATTGTATATTTTTGTATATGAAATTTGTAGAACAAAAGTAAAAAAATGGAGGGCCTAGCTTACTTTGGTATTAAGGTAATTAACTCTAGGTTCCATTGCAAAAGCTCAAGCATGTTCTTACATGATTACTCCAACTTAGGAGTACTACCAAACACTGGTTCATTTTTCTGATAGATTCAGTTATGGCAATACTGAATCATTTTTTGTGTGATTAGGGACAAGGAGCTGTAGCGTCATGGATTGGAGCGAAGGGGAGGTCCTGACGACTGAAGATGGTGTGTAGGGGAGGAGCTCGAAGCGGCACTCCCATGGAGGGATGGCTGATGTCAAGGCAAGTTTCTCTCATCCTTCTCCCCCCTTCTCTCTCGATGTCTATCAGAATAGATTCACCTTTGTTCTGATTTTTCTTTATATATCCCAGGTGCTAAAATCTTATGTGTCAAGGGCATTGTGATGGCGCGATCCATGTCTCCTGCTAGCGCTCGACGTCCCGTAGCCCCAAAGAGGAGGGCTCCAAGGTACTTTTGATTGAATGACTTAATTTTTTCTCCTATGTTGTGCTAGAGGACTAACTGAAACTATGGCTCTGCTATGTATCAGGTTGGACAACAAGCTTCACTGGATGAAAGCATTTCCCTTCTAAAACAGAGTGCTGCTGATATGAATGCACAAGTTAGTCTTGATACTAAGATGGTCATGGAATTGCTTGATCTATACTAGGTCAACATGTCAGCCAACCACTTAAAAATAATCATTTGCATTTCTTCCTCTAAACTGTGAAACCTGACGAGTGATGACGCATCAGCAATTTAGCAATAGAAGATGTCAGTGAACACGAGTGCCAGTCAAGAGCAATGAAACGCTAGATACTTTAGAGTGTAATTTTATATAAGAATAAATAAATGACACTTAAGTCATTAAGCAATTGTTGTTGAGGTATTGTCTCACCCTTTATCTGCTCTCTTTTAAACTGTGGAATGCTATGGGCTGGAGCTACAGGGGAGGAGGGAGGTAAGCGTGAATGCAATGAATATTGTTCGGATAAAAAATTGGGTGCAAACTGAGTACTGACGGTGAGACTTATTCATTTGTTTATCCTTTTGCCCTTTTAATCAAGAACAATGTTCAGAGCTTACATGGTTGCTGAAATTTAAATCTATGAAATAGAAATATTAATACCATACAATGATCAGTGCAGAGTAGGATAGTTATTGAGTTCTTCCTGAGTTTTCATTGAGAAAAGATTGGAACTGTGTGATTTGTTCTGAACTTCTAATACAAAGTAAAGATGGTGTGCATGGGAGGAGCTTGAAGTGGCATTCCCATGGAGGGATGGCTGATGGCAAGGCAAGTTTCTCTCAATCCTTCTCCCCCCTTCACTCTTGATGTCTATCAGAATAGATTCACCTTTGTTCTGATTTTTCTTTATATGTCCCAGGTGCTAAAATCTTATGTGTCAAGGGCATTGTGATGGCGCGATCCATGTCTCCTGCGAGCGCTCAGCATCCCGGAGCCCCAAAGAGTAGGGCTTCAAGGTCCTTTTGATTGAATGACTTGATTTATTTCTCCTGTGTTGTGCTAGAGCTAACTGAAACTATGGCTTTGCTATGTATCAGGCTGGACAACAAGCTTCACTGGATGAAAGTGTTTCCCTTCTAAAACGGAGTGCTGCTGACATGAATGCACAAGTTAGTCTTGATACTAAGATTGTCATGGAATTGCTTGATCTATGCTAGGTCAATATGTCAGCCAACCACTTAAAAATAATCAATTGCATTTCTTCCTCTGAACTGTGAAACCTGACGAGTGATGACGCATCAGCAATTTAGCAATAGAAGATGTCAGTGAACACGAGTACTCAGTCAAGAGCAATGAAGCCTAGATACTTTAGAGTGTAATTTTATATAAGAATAACTAAATGACACTTAAGTCATTGAGCAATTGTTGTTGAGGTATTGTCTCACCCTTTATCTGCTCTGTTTTAAACTGTGTAATGCTATGGGCTGGAGCTACAGGGGAAGAGGGAGGTAAGCGTGGATGCAATGAATATTGTTCGGATAAAATATTGTCTTCAGCCATCTGTCTCGCTCTGGTTTTCCTGTAGTGTGGAGTTTCAACTCTCGATCTGGTCCGCGTGTTATTGATTCAGCTGCCTCACCATTGCAGGAAATTATTGTGTGCTTTAGATTGGGATGCTGAACCAGATGAAAAATGTCACTGCAGCTTTGAGTGCAGTCATAGGTTTGAATTGTAAACTGTAGCTGCTTAAAACTTTGGTATAAAATAAAGCCCTTACTGGTAGATGAGGCACGTTATTAGCAACGTTTCACATTTTCTTACTTGCAATACTATGATTGCCTGTTCAGGTCTTCCAAGACCTAAATCATCATAAATCCAGCACACACAACACCTTTTTTAAAACTTCGGTTACCCTGATTAAGCCTCCGTTCAATTTTCTTATATGGAGGGGTTAGAAATAGTTACCTTGCTTGCTTGCTCGAAACTAAATCTACTGATAAACGGAATTTTTTCAAACCACACATGGTGTTTAGTGGGTCTCATGATGGATTGGGTTGTGGTAGTAGTTCTTGGGTGCAATATCTATCTTGATAAAGCGATCGATCAGGGCGCATCGGAGGCAGAAGAAGAGAAAATGTTTCGGGTGTCTGTGGTGTTGAACATTCACTGTTTATGTGCTTTGTACATGCACGACCAGTTCAGTAACTAGATGGCCTTTTCTACTGTACTGGTGCTGCTACTTTTCACATGCTAGCTTATTTGAAAAGCGCCAACAGTGTGTGCCACTTGTAAACAGTCCATGTTGAAAGAATAGAAGCAGAAGTGTGGAGATAATGTAATTGGTCAGTCAGGAAATTCAGTCTCAATGAGCTCAACTAATGACATGTGTGAGTTGAGCCTGAGGTGTTTTCCAAGTAACAACAGTATTTTACTTTCCTTTTCATGTTTGTGGTCGATGGTACTTACATGTTGTTCAGGTTATCAAAGGACTGCAATCATTTACATTTTGTAAACAAATAAAACACTTTTATGAAGCATGTAGTAGACAAATAGTGCTACTGATAAATGGATTTTTATGTCAGAGCACAAATGGTGTTTAGTGGGTCTCTGTGTCATTTTGCGCGATGGGAGATTACTCAAAAATACACATATTTTCAACATAGCATGATCTTCAATGAGATTCTATACTACCAAATTAAAATCTATAGGTACATCTCATTGTAGACAACAAACCTCC